GTATATTCTATGTTCAGTTTGTTTCTTAAATTATATATAAGTATTGAATAATTTACATTATTTAACATGGGATATAACATGTTTTATTTAAATACTTTTTGATAATAGTTGTAAAGATAATTTTCAGTATATTAATGAGTAATTAGGTTGTGATGGTTTTGAATCTTTAAATTGTATATGTGAATATTTTCTCTAAATTCTCGAATAATATTAAATGGATATTCTTCATTTATTGTTTTGACAGTTACATTTTTATTATCTATTATTTTCGTTGAACACCAACTAAAACTCTTTTAAAATCCTCTTTCTGAATTTAATGCATTTTCTCATTTCTATCAGCAATAATATTAGAATGAACGAAACAATAGAAATATCCCATACTTTTAAACCTACTTTTTGGGTTTTCGTCATTTTCGAAACTTAACTATTAATCCAGTGTTGAAATAATAGGATTTGTATTTTAGAATACGCATCATATAAATATGTCGTTTTTGTATTTATTTAATTCTGAATCAATATTAGATTCGAAAGTAGCACACAAGAAATATCACACCATTCCTTAATATTTCCATCTTTCAAATCACCCATTTATATTCTGGTTATGTTGTTCTATTTGGTTAGAAAACAGCTTACAAATATTGTAAGAATAGTACAGTTTATTACTTACAATGATAGAGTATCAATGATAATAAAAGAATGGGTAATATTAAAGATGGTGGTATTAGTTGTTAGGATATAAGGATGTTTGATAACATGGGTATTATCAATGAAAAAGAATCTGATGATTAAGGATAAAAATATTAACGCATAGCAATATAGAGGTAATTATCTATTTTCCTTAAAACAAGAAAGCAAAGAAAAAGAATTATAATACCCATCAAAATCAATGAGTAACTTAAAGAAGGGTATTTAGTCAGGAATATTTGAAATAATCCATTCCACATTAAATTTTTGAGAAGATGAAATTCTTTCAATTCAACAAATAAAAGCAACTAATAAGCTGATAAATAACGAATAAACATTTTTAAATCAAATAGATTGGATAAAGTAATTTCCCTTAAGGAATGATATAAGCTAGTTTTATTAACACGTAATTATTAAATTATTAACTTTATATTATGTTTATTGTTTTGAATAAATCATTTTAAATGAAATTGAATATAATATCAAAATAAATAGTGATTATTTAAATAGTATTAGATTTAATTTCTTCTTCTATGTTTAAATAATATCAATAACTTCTTTATGTTCTAATATTGTTTATTCATCTTATATTCATTTATTATTTATTTTTTTCATTTTTGTCAAGTGTGTTTTCTTCAGCAACGAAAAAAGCAAATAATAGGAAAAAAGAAGAGAATGAATGATATAAAAGAATAAAAAGAAAGTAAGAAGTAGAAGAAGATGAAGAAAAAATAAAAGTAGAAAGTGGAGAATATAGAAAGAAAGAAGATAAAGTGTAATAAAAGAAAAGAGATGATAAAAGAAGAAAAGAAGAAATAAAATGTGTAATTTTATTGTAAAAATTAGAAATATGAAATAAAAATTGTATAATTCAATGATGTAAAATGATTAACAATATTTTATTGATGAAAAATATTTTACTCTTTTTTATGTTTATTATTCATATGTATAATTTCATTATGATGTTTATTATATAATCAATCATATGTGTTATGTTATTATAACATGTAATATGTGATAAAATATAAATGAAAATGATATGAATATATGATATAGAATATAGAAAAAAAGAATAACAAGAATAAATGATAAATAAAACGAGAAATGATAATCAATGATATAATAATAAATTCAAAAGATAAAAGATAAAATTAATATTAATATAAATAAAAACAGAATAAATATAAATTGAAAATAGATATAAATGATAATAATATAAAAATGATAAGGATGAATAAACAAATACAACTAAATAGAAAAGAATAACAATAAGAAAATCTAAATAATATAAACATAAAAACATAAAACAAGAATAATATAATAATATATAGATAATAAGAAGAATACAATGATATAAATAATATAAAAATAAGCTACATAAATAACATAATAATACGATAGATAAATAACATATAAATAAAAGAATATAAATAATAAAAATAATTAAATATGAATAATCAAATCATCTATTTCATTAATATTTCATACAAAATGAATAGAAATGATCATAAAATATAAACATAAATATTTATATATTCTGTATTTATCATACTTTGTATTTTTTTATTTTTATTTTAGGAGCAAAATATAATAAATGAAAAATTCTATGGATGCAAATTTTTTTGCATCTTTTTTCTTTTTTGTAAATTATTTAGATGCATTTTTTCTTTGCTAATTTTCGTACCCAATCATATCTAATATGATTTTAATTAAATTGGTGCTGAAATACTGATTATTTCTTCCATTCTTATTTAGTCTAAATTATAGTGTTAATCAAATTAAATGATAAATAATATTATTCAATTATTAATTTTATTTATGAATACATTAACGTATGACTGTGCTTGTGTCTCATTAAGAGCATTTTTCAAATGAATTATCAGTACATCAAAAACCAATTTTATTTTTAATGAATTAAATAACTCAATGAATGTTTTATTAATGAATTTTTGTTTATTGTTTATTAATGAAATTATGAATGTGTTTGTTGAATGAAAAATAGTAATTCAATATTAAACCAAAGATATAGAAGAAAAAATAATAAAAATGGTAAAAATCATTTGAATTAATCAAATGTAATTCAACAATAAATAATTGAAATATACTGATTATATGCTTATTCATATCTCTTTTATTAGTATTTATTATTCAATGAATAATATAAATTGAATTGTTATTGGAGAATTGAATTTATCAATAGACTAAAAGAATAAACAATGGGGTTTCCCTATTCA